AGGGAGACCCGGATGCTCCAGACATCCCGACCCCGCGCTCTTACGCTGAGGCGATCGCGGGTGAGTACTCCTTTCAGTGGCAGACAGCCATGGACGCAGAGATGGCATCCTGGAAGTCCACAGGCACTTACGTCGACGCTGTTCCCCCTCCTGGGGCGAACGTAGTCGATGGCATGTGGATTTTCAGGGTGAAGTGGCCGCCGGGTTCTCCGCCTGTCTTCAAGGCTTGTTACGTTGCTAGAGGCTTTAGTCAGCGACACGGAGTTGACTTCTTCCAGACCTTCTCCCCCACCCCGAAGATGACCACTCTTCGGGTGCTGCTGCACGTTGCCGCTCAGCGTGACTACGAGCTTCACTCTCTGGACTTCAGCATAACGTTCTTACAGGGCTGTCTGCACGAGGAGATCTGGCTGCGCCGCCCACCCGGCTTCACTGGGTCGTTCCCTCCTGGTACCCAGTGGAGCCTCCGCCGGCCGGTCTACGGTCTCCGTCAGGCGCCTCGTGAGTGGCACGACACACTGAGGACGACACTTGCGGCTCTTGGGTTTTCACCTTCCACTGCTGACCCGTCGCTGTTTCTGCGCACCGACACTTCGCTGCCACCGTTCTACATCCTCGTGTACGTCGACGACTTGGTCTTTGCCCACTGCTGACACTGAGGCTCTCGCCCTTGTGAAGTCAGAGCTGCAGAAGAGACACACGTGCACAGACCTGGGTGAGTTGCGCAGCTACCTTGGCCTGCAGATCACCCGGGACAGAGCACGGCGCACCATCACACTGACTCAGTCACACATGGTGCAGCATGTCCTTCAGCGCTTCGGCTTCACTTGGTCCTCGCCACAGTCCACTCCCCTGGCTACAGGTCACTCGCTCTCAGCTCCACCTTCGGACGAGTCCGTAGAGCCGAGTGGTCCGTACCCAGAGCTAATGGGCTGCCTCATGTATCTGATGACCTGCACCCGTCCTGACCTTGCCTACCCTCTTGGCCTTCTGGCACGCTACGTGGCTCCTGGTAGGCACCGAAAGGTGCGCTTCGATGTTGCGAAGAGGGTGCTGCGCTACTTGTGCAGTACATCGGGCATAGGGCTCGTGCTTGGAGGGTGGAGTACAGTTGTCCTCACTGGGCACTCAGACGCTTCTTGGGTTGACGACCTAGCTACGCAGCGGTCGTCACAGGGTTACACGTTCAGCCTTGGCTCTGGCTCTATTCCCCCCTCGCTTCAGCCCCCTCACTCCAGATCCACTGCGCAACCGCTCCGCGCTCTTGAGTGCACCACCCCGCAGCCGAGCAGCAGCACTTGCATGTTTGAGACTCGACCTCCAGCGCCGCTGTCTTGCATCTTCACCACCCCCTCTACCTCCTCCTCTCTCTCCTCTCCTCTATAAAGACTCCCACGACGAACTCCTCTTCCTCCACCTCCTCGCGCCCTCCATCGCCCCCATCGTCCGCACCATGGCAGGCACTCTAGTTCTTCTTTTCTTGGGCACCCCCACCATCTTCGAACGCACCACGTACGAGGAGGCTATTGCCTGCCTCGACGCACCACTCTGGATTGAAGCCATGGTCAAGGAGAGCAACGCCTTCATCCACAACCGCTCCTTCATCGACGTCCCTCGTCCTGCCATGACCAATGTCGTCAAGGGCAAATGGCTCTTCCGTGTCATGCTTCTCCCTGGCGAAGTCCTTGTCTACAAAGTTCGCTATGTGGCGAAGGGCTTCACGCAGAAGCACGGCTTTAACTTCTTCAAAACATACTCACCCACTGCTACCCCACCGGTCGTTCGGGTGTTCCTCGACTTCGTCAGCAGACGCGGCATGCTGCTACACTCCATGAATGTCACTACCGCCTTCCTCCAAGGCGACCTACACGAACTCATCTTCATGGAACGCCCCAAAGGATTTCACGCTCCACATGACCCGTCCACCGTTTGGAAGCTGCTGCGGCCCGTCTACGGCCTCAAGCAGGCACTCCGGGAGTGGCATGCCAAGCTCTCTTCCACCCTTCGCGAGCTTGGTTTTCGCCCCTCCCGAGCTGCCCCCAGCCTCTTCCTTCGGACGACTCCGTCCCCTTTCTACATTCTCGTCTACGTCGACGACATGCTACTAGCCGCTGACACAGATGCTGAGATGCAGGAGATCAAGGACGAACTACAGCGTCGCCTCGCCTGCAAAGACCTGGGGGAGGTCCGCGACTACCTTGGCATGGAGATCACCCGCGACCTCAAGGCTAAGACTATCTCCCTCTCTCAGTCCTTCTACATTGAGAAGGTCCTTGAGAGGTTTGGAATGTCAAAAGCCAAGCCCATCGCCACCCCGCTTGCAGTTGGACACCAGCTCTCGCCCCCTGCCACCCCCACCGACTCCTCTAACCCCTATGCAGAGCTTGTCAGGGCCCTGATGTACGCCATGGTCTGCACCCGCCCCGACCTTACCTACCCAGTCAGTGTTCTGGCGCGATTCGTTGGTGTCGGCAGGCACACGGAGGAACACATGACGGCAGCCCGGCGTGTCCTACGCTACCTTACACACGAAGGATTATACCCTCACCCTTGGTGGAGCAGACCTGCCGGTTCTCACTGGCTTCAGCGACTCGTCCTAGGCGGACTCATAGCTTGACCGTCGCAGCTCACAAGGATATGGCTTCACCCTTGGGAGCGGCCTCATCAGCTGGCGTTCCACCCGCTCCTCCTCCTCGCCCTCTCCTCCTGCGAGGCTGAACTGTACGCGGTCACGATGGCAGCACAGGAAGCACGCTGGCTCAGCTATCTCCTCACATATCTTGGCTCACCTCAGCCTTGTCCCACTCTCTGGTGTGACAACGCCAGCACCATCCACCTCACCAAAGAAGCTGTGTTCCATGGTCGCTCCAAGCATATCGAGCTCCGACACTACTTCGTCTGTGATCTTGTCCAAGATGGCCACATTACCGTGCGCAAAATCGACTCATCCTCCAACCCCGCCGACATATTCACTAAGGCCCTCGACCGCGCTACTCACTCGGCAATCTTGCCCCTACTGGGCCTTGCTCCCCATGGTGACTGATTCAGGGGTTGCTGTCTTATCTCATCCGGATTTATGGATCTATGCAGGCTAAGGGGTTGTGTTAACTTATACTACTCTTCTGTATCCTACATTGATCCTATAAACCCCAGGATAGAGATAGGCACCCAAACTATGTTTGGGTGCACAACTAGGGTTAACCCTAGTTGGGGGTTGAAACCCAACCTTGGTCCAATTATTGGCCTCCAAGGTTGAGTTGAGAGATTATTGCCCCCCCCAATAATGTTGGCCCACTTTTGGCCAACATTATTGGGACCCCCCAACAATTCTCCAACCCAACTTATTGGTGGGGGGTCAATAATGTTGGCTAGGTACCCAACCAACCCCCCTCCCCTAGCTTCAACTATGTAAACCCTCATGATTCCTAATCAAGTGAATGGTTCACTTCTAACAGAAATATGAATCCTGAGGAGCCTTAAAAGATTTAGTTGTGACAGCCGTGCTGCCATCATCCGCTCTGCCCTGCGCCATACATGCCGGTGTGTGCATCTCTGCCATTAGCCATCGATTGCGGGTAGAAATATGAATCCTGAGGAGCCTTAAAAGATTCAGCTGTGACAGCTGTGCTCCCATCATCCGCTCTGCCCTGCGCCATACATGCCGGTGTGTGCATCTCTGCCATTAACCATCGATTGCGGGTAGAAATATGAATCCTGAGGAGCCTTAAAAGATTCAGCTGTGACAGCAGTGCTGCCATCATCCGCTCTACCCTGCGCCATACATGCCGGTGTGTGCATCTCTGCCATTAACCATCGATTGCGGGTAAACATATGAATCCTGAGGAGCCTTAAAAGATTCAGCTGTGACAGTAGTGCTGCCATCATCCGCTCTACCCTGCGCCATACATGCCGGTGTGTGCATCTCTGCCATTAACCATCGATTGCGGGTAGAAATATGAATTCTGAGGAGCCTTAAAAGATTCAGCTGTGACAGCAGTGCTGCCATCATCCGCTCTACCCTGCGCCATACATGCCGGTGTGTGCATCTCTGCCATTAACCATCGATTGCGGGTAGAAATATGAATTCTGAGGAGCCTTACAAGATTCAGCTGTGACAGCCGTGCTGCCATCATCCGCTCTGCCCTGCGCCATACATGCCGGTGTGTGCATCTGGCACCCATGTCTTTGGAGACCTCTCAACAGTGATACAACCATACATACACGCGGATATGTGAATCCGCCACCTATAGTTTCTGAGAGCTCTTAAAAGTGATACAGCCATACATACATGCCGTACGTGCGACTCAATAGCGACCTTGATACAGCCGTACATGCAGATACGTGCATCTGTCATTCATCAACTTCTGGCAGGGAGTAAAATTTTGATGTGCTTTTGAAGATCAGGCTGTGACGCCCATGTTGTGCATCATCCGTCCATCCCCCTTCTGCCTCCACCCTCCCTTTACTCCTCCCCATCCGTTGTTGCAGTTGTCTATCCCCATCCCCCCAGCTGCACTTCTTTGGCCTTTCTCGTGTGAACCTGCTATTAAACTTACCCCATTCCTTCACCCTGCTCCCTCTCCTTCCCACCCCTCTCCTCCATCCCCCACACTCTCCTTCCCACCCTTTCCTTCACTCCCTCCCTCTCCTTCCCACCCCCTCCTTCAATCCCCTCCCTCTCCTTCCCACCCCCCTCTTCACTCCCCTCCCTCAGTCTCCAGCCACCCGTTTGCTCCTCTCTTGTCATCCTCATCGCGGGTTCAGACGCTGCATGGAGACAACACATGCCGCCCCCCTTGCACCCCGTCAACCTGACTGCCGCCCTGCACAAGGAGTGCACCCGTGCACATCTGCCCTGTGAGGTGCTGCGAGCACAAGAGGACAAAGACCCATGCACTGATCAGGTCAGTGTTTTAATACAGCTCACATACCATTGCAGGCACATTTCACGCCACCCAAGGCAGCCATTTCCTGTGAAGTGGTGCGATCACAAGAGCACA